TCGAGATTACGCACAACCGTACTTTGATGACATTTTCGTCTAAAGTGGTGCCAACCAAGTTCGGTCAGATGTTAATAACCATATCGGTCATTTGTGAGCCGTTCTCGAGTGCATGCGTGCTAGTAAATTGTAGACCAACGCGTCTTAATGCAACTTTGGTGTAGAAGAGATTCCTTTTCTAAAGTGTTTAATGGCTAAGCGCGGTCTCAGAGCTGACCTCACTAAGGTAAAGACTATAAGGGACCTGCCGATTACCAAGAATCAGAAAGACCTGCGTAAGTGGCTTGGCCTTGCCGATTGCTTACACAATACAGTGACAGTTGCACTGATGTGGCTCGGTCATTAACTTATCTCCTTTAGAATGACGCAAATTGGCTCTGGGAAAACACCCATGCTGACGCATTTAAAGTAACAAAGGAAATTATATCCATTCGCATTTTCGGCGTTGCCAACTCCTTAGTAATAATTTAGCGTTGTCGGCAATGCATTTGACTATGCCATAGGCAGATTTCTGTTTCAAACAGATGCTGCAGGCCGCGAGCGAGTGATCGCAGTTAATTCTCGTCGACTAAAATCTGCTAAAAAGATTTACGTCGTTTATGACTAAAAGCTACTTGCTATGGAGCATGTACTTGTCGAATTTAGAGTTCACCTGACTAAATGCGATTTATTCTTCGTCTGTACAGATCATGCGTCGTTACGCACGGCGACACAGTCGCCTCACATCTCTCACAGAATGGCTCGTTGGATATACTTCTTTGTGGAATATAGCTTCAAGGTATATGTAATCCAGGCAAACAAAATGTGTTGGCAGATGCCCACTCTCGCCATCCCGAACATGCAATTGATCACGTCATGACCCTTTCGTCTTCAAATTAAAGATAAATGTCGTTGCACATCCACGGTCTATCAATTTGTGTCATTGTATATGCCCTTGGAGGTGAGAAGAATGAAGACTCGGACAGACCTTTTTTGGCACGGTTGCGTGCCAGCCTCCATAGATTTTCCATCGATAATAGTATCTTATGCTATCGCAAAGATGTTACGGATACCGCTCGCGTTGTTGTACCTTACCGTAAGGATTTAAACTATCGACCTCTCTTTATGACCCCCGATACTGCCCTCAGTGGGCATTTAGTCCAGGAAAGACTTATGGATCCGTAGTTCGACACTACTCTTGGTCAAAGCTCTACAAATTAGTGAGCACGTACATGTGTACATGCACAACGTACCAGCGGGTAAAAACCTCGGTACATTCGGCTGCACCACTAGCTAGTTTGCCTGTTTCCACAGGGTCCTGGGATCCCATCAGTATACACTCTGTATTTTATCTTCTCAAATGCAATTACAGAAATACGGGATTTGTGGTCTTCGTTGACCGCGATAAGCAAATTCGCTCACTTAGCGGAGGTAAAGGATTTCATTGGTGGTGAAGGTACAACTATGCTATTAATCGATAGTATGCTTCGTCATCACGGGTTGCAACTGGCAATTATCTCTAATCACGACCCTAGCTTCACAGGCTTTGCTCGGACTTTCATCTTTAAGATGCTTGGCACCCATTTGAAACATGCTTACAACGGATCATCCGCAGAATGATGGTCAATCTAAGTGAGTTATCACGTCTTCGGCGACGTTCTTCACAGTGTCTGTGCTGAGTCATCTATGACTTGGAAATCGATGCTACCCGTCATTGAGCTCGCGTAGATTGACGCTTTTCATGATACTACTACAATTTATACCCTTCTATATGCATAGCCTCACGCACCACCGCGTTCCACTCGAGTTATGACTCCGTGGTTATTGTCTTTGTGGGGATTAGTCTGCAGACAAGCTTGATAATTTCAGCTCTACCACGATGCAGAATGAATTATGCAGGTTTATCGCGTCGTGCTTTAGTTTCTTACGGTACGTGCGTGATGCAATAATGGATAGTCAAGAAAAGTAAAAAGAAAAAGCTGAAGCTAACGGCAGAGGATGCATTGATTCTTATAAAGTTAAATACCAAGTCTTAAGTATTGCTCAAAACTTACCTACTACTGTAGTGTCTACCGTCTTCAAGACAAAACTGCGTCTGTAATCCACTGGGCTGTTCACGATCGTAGCGAATAAAGGCCTTGCCTTTACACCAAATATCCTGAGAAATTTGCGCACACGCTTAGTGTTCTAAGTTGGCTTGCTCCAGCCATATCAAGATCAGTCTATCGTGAACCGGATTGCGCTTGCGTTTTAAAGAGGGAAGTCGTCCCCGATAACTGCATCTTCGTCTCCACATGACCACTAGTCGATGCAGATTGTACTACACCTTCCGCAGTCGTATATAAACCGAGTCGATCTAGCCGAGACGGTTCATCTGCTCACGCAACTGAGCCAATTTAGTCGATGGGGGTTCAGGAGTGCGTTTTTCTTGGTCAAGGTTCTTTCGAAGTTTCGTCCTCTCAGCCACATACTGATTCAAGTCCGTCTGCACATGAGCAAAAGACTCGTGGAGTCGCTTCACCTTAGAAACCGATTCTTGATGAGCCTTTATCGACACACCGACATCCCCCTGCGTTGCTCAACGAGTAAGCAAATTGCAGATCCACGTGGAGAGGCTTATAAAGCGTCGTCACCACAAAGTTCGGTGACAGTATCTGATGAATTGTCGTGGATGCACTGAGTTTGAGAACGCGTCGGAGTTTGCGGTTACCCTTTGGCAAGATTGCCCATACGCCCTTGAGCGGCTGAGGCACGTATCGCTGTTAGTACTAAGCTTTACTTTGTTCAAAAAATGGGGTAGGTGCTATGCACGAGTGTTTATGCAATGCTGGCGTGTCAGGCTCGGGGTCTTAACCCTCTTCTGCTACCTTGTCGCTGTCATAATCGACGATGTTCTCTTCTTGAAAAAAGTCTACCAAAAACTCGGAGGAACGCGAAGACTTCGCTATTGATGCGCAAGGTGTCGTGAGCAAAATAATAAGGTTATATGTATTCTCCGATCTTTTCATTGAAAAAGGTGAAAAGGTCGCTTTGTGGTTTAGACTGTTTGGTGGGGGAGGGTTCAACGGGGCGACACAAACAATTGTGATACCTAGTTACGCTGGTGTGATATACACCAAAAGTGATCATTTCCTCTGATAGGCGTATACTGTACTAAAGACGCTGAGTGGTAATAACATACCTTATCAAGTACGGATAGATGGTATCTAAAGTAGTGAGACCTAAAAATAACGGAGTAGTTCTGATGGGGTAACACCAGATGAACCCTCATGAGAACTATCCGATTAGGTAGCACAGTTTAAGGTTAAACACGTAAGTGAGTTTTATCACAGCTATGACCTACCTGACTTACTTATTTGATCATTTTAAGACACGTGTCTCGCTAAGACGTCTTTGAGATTAAAAGTTAAGAGCTTGTATTTAGGCTAGTTCTTTAAAACATTAGTGCCTTGTAATTTCTTGGAATCATTAGTTCTTTGAACTAAGAACCGAAGCTTAGGAGCTTGTTCAGATTTTAAGAGTTAAGTCTCAATAAGTCTGTAGAGACTCGAGAACCTGTAAGTTAATTTGCGATTAGTTCAATACACTAACAGACTCAACGAATCTGAAAGCCTTCCTTTGACAAAGGAGTAAAGGTAGCTCCGCTACATTGTCGGTTATTCGCTGACTTGCATAAAAATAGATAGCCGATCTTTTCTGGTCTCTACTGCGCGGCACTTCGTCGATCGACTTCTAGATGACGTCTATTCATCTTTTTTTATTTTTTTACTATCGATTTCATTTTTGTACCCGCCGGTGGCCCTAAGACATGCTTTGCAGGCGGCACGAGCTAATGCCATTGTGGCGTTTGGATGCTTTGGCATCGCATTATTCTGACTACCATCGTCTTCTGGACTAAGATCGCAGTGATGCTTTATTGCAAGCCCGAAGGGTGAAGTTATTAGTGACAGTGCGCAGGCTGCATACAAAACTTGTAAATCGTACTGGTTTGTGTGTGTCCGTCGGTAAATGACGCGGCGAGGTGTACCTTTCACGTACTAAGTGCGATCTAGTCTGTCCCTCCCTCATAGGTATATAGGTATATAGTAGTATACTAAAGTCACTCTTTGGCTAGGTCACTATTCTGGCGCACGCATGTTAATGGCTTACAAACAATTGTAAATAAAAAATGATTACATGAGCAAATACTTATAGTGCGTTACAACTTGAATCAGTATATGAACTGAATCACTTATATTAATGGGCTAGCACGACCGTACATCTAAGCGGCTCACAGTGACTCCGTTTGTTTTCTTTTCGAGTACGTAAATTTGTCACGGGAGCGTATTTTCGCGTGCTTGGGGGCGCAAGCACGAACGCATACGTCATGAGCTACAGTAACTCAGCTACACTCGTTGCCATAGCACACGTTTCTGTAGTCAATTGCGCCAGTACTGTCGGGCATACTCCGCTCACTTCGACTTACTTCACGCTCCTCACAAATTGTAAGTGTAAAAGAAGAAAAAAGGACCCTGAGCATTCAACAAGCATTCTTTCATACCTGAAGTTTGTGTGCTCGATGTGGTCGTATACTTTTGACCGGGTGCCAAAAGTGGTTTTTGTATGAGAGCCATGCCACCAACTCATAAAATGAGGACGTTAACACGTGGGAGGCATGTCGTAAAGCTTTGCGCATGACATCCACAAATAACAGCGCCCAACTCGTACTTGTTATGGAATTATGAGTAAAAAATATGGGTGCCGTATATTTATGACCCGGACACTATACCTAGGTACTTGGGACAGGTTAGATCGCACTTGGTACTCCTACACCTAACCGCGTTTGTCACAGACAGAGAGAAACACAGACATGCACAGATAAGTACGATTTAAAAGCTGGGTATTTAACCTTGCGCACACACACTAATAGCTTCACCCTTTGGGCTCGCAATTAAGTTCTACAAGTACTTCACACGCTCTATTTTGCATCGTTCTATCCTTTCCTTATAAAATCTGCTCCTGATTAACGATAGTCGTGAAAAATGGCGGGAACGCTCAATCGCAACTTCACGTCGGCGTCCGTAGCGTTCACGTGCATCCGGCACAACCCACGACTACTGGAGAACTCCCAGAGTTTGTACAAATTGATTGTACCGTCAAAGGCGTGCGTGGACGCGGAAGAGAGTGATAAATGCAATGGGGATGTCGATCCAGACCGGATTTGGGCTGTAGTGGCTGTTGTAGCTACTGGTATGACACAGGAGCTTGACAAGGAGAACGAAGTTGGTAAAGACAAAGAGGAGGAAGATGAGGCATTGATGGAGTGGGATCTCGTGCAGCTCTTGGCGGAAGCTGGTGTGGGGTTACAGATCTTCCTGCGCTACTTTACGAGTCTCTTTAACCGTCTGTTGTTGGAGCCACGGCTACTCGCAGCTGTAACGTTGCTCAAGGAGGAGTTTACCATTGACACGCTGCTGTTTGAAAAGTACCGTGAGTTGTGGCAAAAGACGACGCTGATGAAAATGGGACAAAAAGGAGAGTACCAGACGGGCCTGGATGGAAATTCTTCAGATCCAGAACCTGAGAAGCCAGTGGATAACCAGGAGCTACAGAATGCTTGGGGGCTGCAAGGGCGTCATCGAAAGTTGTTTGACGGAGGATGGGTGCTGTTTTTGCTGGCGAAGAGGAGACTGGCGAGGCAATATTCTGGACTCGGACAGCTCTACACTTTGCTCTTGGCGACACTGCATTTGGTCCTTACCAATGCTACCCAAATGTCTCAAGTGACTGTGGAGGCAGAAGTTGCTGTGGCGCTAAGTGCACTGGGAGACTTGGGAGACGAAAAAACGTCGCCCATGAAGTCGGGAGCTGAAGTTGATTCGAGTACGCAGATTTTCAACACTTTGTGTGCAGCGCCGAGAGTTGATCGAGCTGACGTCTTGCGCGCATCTGAACACTTGGGGCTTGTACTGCAGCAGCTTGGCAAAGAAGGTGTGGTGCAGAACGAGGCGAGGGAACACGCGGTGTCAAGAATGACACTATTTGCTGATGCTGTGCTTGGACAGAACGTGACGCGGCTGTCGGAAAAATACAAGCATGACTATCTCGATGGCTGCGGCAAGCTGGACGAACGATTCTTTCTGGACGAGCACATTCGACAGACCATCATGGGAGCAAACGTTAATGTACAACCTGGTAAAGGAGGCGGCGGCTTTAGGATGAAGTCAAGTGATAGGTTGAGTACAAGCCGAAGCATGACGCGCAATATGCTATCCCCCGTGCGACGCAACATGATGGCTCGACGACGAGACAATGGGTCTACTCCCGTCTCAAGAGGAATGATGACACCTCCTCGGCACCATCAACAACCTTTCCATGGTCGTGGGATTAACTCGCCGTTGATGCAATCTTGGCAATGGCAAGGCTCCCCTGGAGGCAAATACAGGTCTCATACTGGTGCAAGTCCTCGCTTATCGCCGTGCTCTTTGCGAACGCCGATTACTTCAGCTGTTGAGACAAGTAATTGGGTACGAGAAACACTGTCTAGCTCAACCTTGACGCACATGACGCCGCAGCTGCATCGGCTTTTCACTGACTGTGCAGTGGACCCAACAGAGCGTATCGCGCTCGTGCTACGTGACCATTCAGAAAGGCTTTTAGCAGCACGAAAGTCGGGTCGAGCTACAACGGAGAAAAGTTGTCCCACCGTGTCAATGGTGGTGATTGAGAATAACGACGACGACGACCAGGATGGAAACAGTAACGCGTTGTTTTTATCCGGCGTGGATGACAGCCTGAATCGGACAAAAAACTTGACCATCGTGCTGTTTTATCAAGTGCTGGAGTCATTGCTACTATCAGAGCGCGAGCGACTACGCAACAACGACTTCTCGAAGCTGCTAAACAACGAAGTGTTTCTCGCGGCGCTGTTCGCATGTAGCGCTGAGGTGGTGCTCAAAGCGCACTCGCTCATTACAATTTCGTACCCGTTCTTGCTCGAGCATTTGCACGTGAATGCCTTTCACTTTGTTACCACAAGCGAAAGCTTTGTCAAGTACGCGCCAAACCTGCCTTCAGCCTTGAAAAAGCACATGAGCGATGTCAAGAACCGAATTCTGGACTCTCTCGTATGGAAATCCGATTCTGCGCTTTATCAACTTCTTCCTGGAGCTCGACGCTCTGCCAGCTCTTTCAGTACGGCCGCTTCCCCGAGCACCCAAAGCACGACGGACCATTCAAACAGGGCTGGTGGTAATGTTGTTCTGCATGCACCTGTGCTTCGTCTTTTTTACCGGATGGTGCTTTCTCGCGCAGCCTCCAGGATTTACCAGCTCTGCAATATGTTGGGTTTGGATTCAACGGATCAAAATGAGATCTGGACTGCTGTGAAGGAATGTATCACGTCACACCACGACCTTCTGAGAGACCGTCACCTGGATTTGATTGTATTGTGCAATATCTATGCTGTGTGCAAAGTATCGCGTGGCCCTAATGTTTCTAAGGCGGCAGCCACCATGTCTTTCAAGTGCTTGCTGGCATGCTACAAACAGCTCAATCGGCAAACGCCCACTGGCGTTAATTTAGCTAGTGCAAGTCCGCTTGTTTCGTCGCGCAGCAGTGAAGGGGTGACGCACGGCATCATCCTCGACACCAAAGGTTCCCGTGGCGACATTATCAAGTTTTATAACCGGTATTACATCACAGCCATGAAGAGCTTCATACTGCAGTTTCAATTCCAGGAGTCACAAATGGCGGCAGCTGATGCGGTCGTCGCTGAGGCCTCGCAACGGCCCCAGGTACTGACGCCAGGGTTCTCTGCTAGCAATTGTAACATGGGCTTAGCGGGGTCTACTTCAGATGCAGAATGTATTGCACGAGCTGCATCGGAAGCTGTTCAAAAAGCTCTTTCAAAGTCATGGCAACTCCACCAATATCCATGTCCAAAGCAGCGTACCTCCGAGCACACCGCCACATTCCGTTCGCAGCGGTAGGCGATCATCGTCTTTTGTTTCATCGCCAGCTGTTTCAGCACTGCAGATGTTCACGTCAGTTGAAGTACAAACGTTGCCTGTATCCATGAACCAGACATCGCCGAAGCGCGTCGAGTGCTCAAACGTGTACATGTCACCATTGCAACAAGTACGACTGGATCGCCGCTCGCAGCTGACGCCACGTTCCCACGCTCTGTACGCGATCGGCGAAAGCCCTGCGCGGGTACGTTCTCCGCTTTCTGGCTTCGTTACTCGACGAGTTGCTCACAACAATCGTTATTACATCATTCACAGGACCTCGCTTTAATCAACCGCGCAGTGAACACAGTACCTGCTAATCTGCGCCGGGCGCATGCCCCCAAACTCGTAATGGACAGCGACACCGAACAACGCGACATGAGCACCAGCCGTCGTATCAATCCTGTCCGCAAGAAACAGAAGACAGCGTCGTAGATGCAAGCTGTAAATTGTAGTCAAATGCTCTGTAAATTATGCGTAATATGCAGCAAATGGCCCTGCATCGTTGGACCCTCTTCTTGAGGTCAGAGTGGCGCAACCTAGCCACACTTATTCCAACGAGAATCGGCTTGCACAGAGAAGCGACAATGTTCTGGAGCGAAAAACTATTATCGTGCTCCGGCTACTGTAACCCGTCTGTCGACTGCTCCATATTGCATAATACATCGTCGAACTGCTCAATTTGTCCACTCAATTTTGCTTCAGCACCATGACCTATACATGTACGTACGTGCCCTCAGATGACTGAGACCGTTTGCACTTCACTTAGATGTTGGTGACTTCGACCTCCGGCTCATCGCTTTCGCTGCTGTCCTGACCATTCATAATCGGATGCGCGATTTCGTCTTCGCTGCCCAGTTCTTCCCCGACGGGGTCGGTATCGCAGGCGTTCAGTCGCCCGCGCATTGCTGCACCTTCTTGTAGCTGTCGCACCAACCATCCTTCGTCTGCCATGGACAGATTGTCAAACGTATCGCGAGGCTTGTCGTACGCAAAGCTAAACTCATCGAAGTGCGACCCATCGTTATCGTTTGCAACCGTAGATGCCTTCCTTCCATTCACAGCCTTAGGGTTCTCGCCGATCGTGTCGGTCACATTCATATTGCGGAAGTGTTCATGCACATTCTGCATCAACTCTTCTGTAGGCGGAATAAAAGGCGGTTCCACTTCTTTTAACTCCAATCGTTCCCAATTAATTGATGCAAAGAACGGGTGTGAACGCACACCATCGATATTAACGCGCTCTGCGGGATCACGAACCAACAGCTTCTTCAGCAAATCAATGGCATCTTCGTCAATTGGTGGATATCTCTCGTACTTCACATCAGCAGTCTGAATCTTCTTGTACATTTGCGAAATGTTTGAGTCGAAGAACGGAGTGCTACCTGTCAGCATTTCGTATAAGAGCACACCATAGCTCCACCAATCTGCTTCCATACCGTACTGCGGCTTCTGTGTGACCAATTGCTCTGGAGCAATGTACGCCGGTGATCCAGCCAGCGTGCCTGCCTGGGAGTAGCTATGGCTCCCTGGTTCACCTTCGAGACGTAGCTGCTTGGAGATACCAAAGTCCACGAGTCGTATATTTCCCGTCTTGTCAAGCATAATATTGTCCGGTTTCAAATCACGGTATATAATACCGTGGGCGTGCAAATACGACAGTGCAATCGCAAGCTCAGCAGCGTAAAAGCGAGCACGCTCCACAGAAAAGCGTCGGCCACTGCTTGTCGACACGTTCGGATCCATTTTAGACGAGTGCATGTGCAAATACAGGTTTCCTCCCTTGTAGTAATCCATACCAAGATACAACTTTGTCTGCGTCTGAAAAGCAAAACGCAAGCACGTCAAGAACGGATGGCGGACGCCAGACAGTATGCGACGTTCCTTCAGCGCGCTTTCAGCGCCAGACTGCTTGTCGATAATCTTGATGGCAAAGTACTCGTCTGGGTTAAGGTGACGTTGCACAAGCACAACCGTACCAAAGCCACCTTGTCCCAACACGCCAACCACATCAAAGTCTGAAAACGATAGAGCCAGTGAGCGTTTCGTGAGGCAGTACTGGTGAAAACACGCGGTGTGCTCCGCAATGACCATCGGATTCGTCGTGACCCGACGAGCCCTCGATCTCGACGCGTTGCGTTGACGAAACGAAAGCACGACGCGCGAAATGCGCCGTGCCGGTGTGAACGTGATCTGCAGTCCAAACTTTCCTTCCGTCGTCGAGCCAGACACAGTGTTAATCAGGCGATGGCCAGCGTAGATGAACGCGTGGTGGTCGTCGTCGTCGGTTCGGTGCACCGCTTTCTCGTCCACGTCTATAGCCAGCAAGTACTTGCTCACGTAGAGCGCAGCAAAGTGCACAAATCCTTCGCGTCCGTGGTAAATGCCCTTGAACACGCACGACGGTTGCGTCGTTTCGCACGTCTCGAGGTCGAACAGGAGCTCCACGTCTTTGCTCAGCTGCCGCAGGAACGACGGCAAGCACTCAATGACGTTCTCTGACGACGTGGCGGTCAAGAGACGAACGAGATCTGCGAGAAACTTCTCAGCGAGCCGCGTCGTGATGGACGATTCAAGCGACACGACGTCGTCTGCCGAGCGCGGCGTCGGCGTGGGCGGCACGTCACCCCGTGGCCGTCCTTGCTGCAGCGCCGACACTTCCCGCGTCTTCGTGTTGTGTAAACTGAGTTGCATCATGTGCATCCACATGGCTTTTTCTACAGCCGACGCAGCGATAAAGTGGATCATGTTGCCATTGGCCGCCAGGAAACTGAAGCCGAGCTCTTCCGGCTTGAGCTTCGAGCCGCCAAAGCCAGCGGACGGGAGCGAGCTCAGGATCTGCTTGATGACCCACTGGCCGCGGTACTGCTCCTTGGCGAGCGCGTGGGTCTTGGACTTGTAGATGGACACAGTGCGGTTCTGGAGCGTGATGTAGCGCGGCGTCCAGCTCTTGACTAGCTTACGTTGTTTGTACAAATACCCTTCCCATTCCACTTCTTCAGCCGTAATCGTCTTGAGGTCGATGAGGTTAGGGGTTGCCATGGCCTGGCTCTTGTTCCGTCGCGACGATCGACTGCGGCCGCTTCGCTTGCCGTGCGCTCGCGACAAGGCGCCGAACTTGGCCGTCGCGGTCGTCAAGTTGAAGCCGCTATTGGTGCGGGACGGGGCGCGCGACGAGCCCCCCGACGGCCGGCGCGCGCGCGGCGAACTGGCGGCGGTCATGACGCTGCTGTCGTGCGTGGACGAGCCACTGAGCGACGACTTGCGCCGACTGGCGGTGCGCGCAGCGGCCGCTGCCGTCGTGAGACTGGAGGCGGACGGGGGCGTGCGGGACATCATGCGCGCATCCAACAAGTGCGCCATTGCTGGGGGTGCGTGCTAGACTTGATGTTTGTAAGTGACGAATGCGGCAGGCGAATAGGGGTGGGTCGAGTGCGGAAAGCAAGAGTGATGGTCGTTTCGTTCTTGACCTAATGACAGACGACGAGACAAGAAGGTATGTGAAGCGAGAGGCGGCCCCACCCCCAAAATAGCGTCACGTCGTCGTGTTTTGAAACGACAGCGTGAGAGAAGAAGAAAGACACGCGGAAACTTGCTGCTGGGACGTGGACTTTACGACTTGAGGACGGACTGCAGCAAGGCGCGTTTCCTTTCCTTACTGGGCACTTGCTCTTTTGCTTTCTGACACTTGCGGTCCGTCTACCACAGATGCAACCCAACCCAACACATTTAGACACAAACATGCTCAGTCTCTCCCGACTCACTGCAAATTGGCTCGGCTTTGCAAGGGCAGACCTGGGATTGCAATTTTCCTAATGCAACGTCGATGGTGCGACCAGAGACGGGACGGACGACCTCGCATCCGGCGGCGTAAAAGCCATTATTGCCCCGTCTGCTTCGATAGTGTGCTCGTTCGATCGACGACTAGCTACTCACTGGCATACAGTCGTGCAGTTGAATGAACGCGGTCGAACGTCGTATCGGGACTGTGTGGGAGCCTTTTGCCACCGACGTGTTTTGTGTCGAACAAGTCCATAAAGTACTTGACTTGAGGCTGCACCTACCCACTCACCTACTCCCTCAATCAGGTGCAGACCAGCCAGATTCGTTGCAATTGCCTTTGGAAGCCACTACTTGCCGTGGATCAGAAGTCAAGGGGATGGAGCCCGTGCCAATCAGACTGTTTCTAAGAAACTCGAGTCGAGACCGCGACCACCGGCCGGTAGCGACTCGAATCAAACTGGATCGGGAAAACTGCTACACTCGAATTCGCCGACGATCGCACTGGTCCCTGCGACAAAAGCCGCCTCTTTCCGAGAGCCAGTGTCTTGGAAGTACTGTCGATGACGAAGCGGTTTCGAGGCCAAGGAGGCGAGCGTTCACGAGGAATCATCGGCTTTGCACAAATCCCCCGCTGTTTGGGTACACTTTGCTGCGGCTTCGTACAAAGGCTCGCTCTCTAGCCCTGTAGTGTCTTAGTCCTTGTAGTGAACAGTGGCTAGTACAGGACCAGAGTCGCTCCGAGTCGAAGACTGCAGTATTCGTGCAGCGGTACGCTAGGATCAGATCTGGCCGTTAAGATATGGTCTCCAATATTTTGCGACGCGGGGCAGAATGTGAAACGTTTCGGAGCGTTACACGTTGGTGCTCACATTGCGGTGCCCGCCTCACGGTGGCCACGATTCCCACCCATGTCATTAATTCGCGTCCTTATTGGCCGTGAGGGACTTACATCTCGTACTCGTGTCCACGTGATGAGGTGCTTGTCATGCGTGACCCGTATCTTGTTCTCCCTTGCCGGCCGAGAAATCAGTATGTTGAAGCGATCTTCATCGTGAGAGGCGGGACGTCAGCTTTCTAACCGCAAGAGCGCGGTACCCCTGGTTCAATCTTTTGAGCTCTTCGAAAAAGTATGGCAGTTATCCTGTCGGTCTTTCTTGCCATTTCGATGAGCGAGAGGTTTAGGCTGTTCATTTAACGGCTTGTAACGTCTTGTGCAGTGTTCTGATAGTACCAATAGCACTTCTCAATTTGCGCCTTCGGGCAACAACAGCCAAGCTGGGCGATCGGCCCCCAGGTTACCCTGGGTAAGAAGCCCCCTACCGTGGGGCCTAGATTAAGGGTGGAGGCTTTCTTGCCGCTGCGTGCGCTACGGGAGGCAGCGCAGCGTGCAAACCGAATGGGAGCAACAACCCAGACACCCCGAGGTGAGGGGTACAGCAACAGCAGTTGTCACCCCCTACTTAGTACCTACTATTCTACTTCAGCCTTCAAGTTGTCGGCCCAGTCGCCGAGCTTGACTCCCGAGCCCCACGAAGCGAACTTGCCTAGAACGTGATCCAGATCGACCTAGTCCAGGTGCGTCAGCGGTCCATCGGGGGTGATCGGTCTGGTACCCGGCGTTTCCTGCGACTTTAGCGCCCTGTCTGCTCTGCGGACTGGATATCCGATTCCACGTGCCCTCTGCGAAGTGTCCCCCGTGATGACCGAAGAGCCGAGCCAAGCAGACTACGCCAGCGAGGAGAAGATGATGTAGTTCAGGTAGCAGCACACCGATATCATACAGGGCATAAGTACTTAGTCGACGTTCAGGATTTACCACAGCAACCACCCGGTAAATGCGCGTGACCTACCACATACAACGCTGTTCGTGTAGGGTCCGTTATTCGACCTTGTACATTCGTTGGTATTCGAGCGAGTTGACGGCCTTGAGTGACGCGTACCGACTCAAGACGCGTGTTCTCAGAGCAACGAATTGTAGCGTGGGACTCCGCCAGTAGTGGAGGATCTTCAAAGTTTCTAACTGTGGGTGTCGCTTTGGACGCAGTGACCGATCGCCGCTTTGATGACGCGTGAGAGGGGCGTCTCCAACCGTGATGTATTTCTCAAGTCGACCACTTGGGAAAAACATTCCGTCTCCTTAGCTCTCACAGGGCCCGAGATGAGGGGCTAAGGCTAGGACTGACTCGAGCTGGACTGCGCAATGTTGGGAAAGACCGCGACGTCCAGTTTTGAGCGATTGCGCACATCACGAAGTCGTAATCGCGGTAGGGCCATAGACCGCGCTCTTTGCAGCATAGCGCGGTTATCATGGGGAGACAAAAAAGATTCGGTCATGAGGTATGTCAGTGTAGTGGCTCTGGATTTTAAGGAAAACCTTGCCACGCACGCCAAATGAGGTGAGCGGCAGTGTCCTTAATGTCCGCCTTCAGATGCATAACCATCGTCTACACGCATCGGTAAGGATGTCAGCTTGTAGCCATAGCCGTAATTGGGATATATTGTACTTTTGTTTGGCCTCAGTGTGGTCTCAATACAAAAATGGGATTCTTTGCGTGTGGTCGATGTGCCTCCGCCCCATGAAATGCCTCAAATATATGTTCCTGGTTCCACAGTCATCCGAATTGGTGTAAGCCTAAAAGCGTCCATTGAGCTGGGCAGCTTTGTGAACACATTACGTAAACTGGAAATTGCTGGAATCGCACGACTGCGACAGGAGGGCCTATCATCTACGGCTTGAGTGGAAATGGAGTGGATATGCCGTGTAAGCATTCACGTGAAGCCCGAAAACATTCGTCAGAGCTCTTCCGCTTGCGATAACCCTGGATAAAGAATTGGCCCCTGTCGCTTTGTTGTGTAGATCAGAGTGTATTCAATTGGCTGATTTGCCGTCGCTGTTGGTCGCTATGTGTTTTGCTCATTCATCGACATGTATTCTCGCAGTCTCGTATTCTTGCAGTCTACACCTGGCGTCCAAGGTGGTAAGAATACGCGACACTGATGCGGGGATACTCTAGTTTTTACGGCCTGATTATAGAAGATAGGACGTCTTGGATCCGTGTTTATGAGCGTTGCTTCTTTCCTGCATATTGAACGCTTTCGGGTAGCGTTGTTCACGCGCTGCAATATTCATCAGTTCGTCTTGTCCACAATGCCTCGCCGGGCTTTTGACAAACACCTTTGCTAGTCGCTACAAACGATCAATAAACAACTTGTTTGACACGTGCTATGGATGGGTTGAAGTGCTCGATGACATTCGACTGCAGCTACCAGCTCCCAGCTACCAGCGTCGTGTTTGGCCATTGTAAAGTTTTCCAAGGACGAGTGATCCCTTGCAACCTCTACCGCTTCGTTGTCGGTAGGTCCAAAGACGACCTTTCATCAATCTACCTGTGTAAGCCTCAATCAACACTAAGTCCGCATTCGCCGAGGCATCCACAGACGATTTGCCTCCTAACTCCTTAAATGATACCCCTAAAAATAAGTGTCATGCAAGCACGTTTCCATTCTGATCCCCATCCTCAGTAGTGCTCAAAATAGCAACATCGACATCCACACGATATGACCTACTTGAATAGCAGATCATAACTACATAATTTACTACAGGTCCTTCTACCATTACATTTTGCCCTTTTGACCACTGCAAGAATGAATGAGCGCCGTCATGTGCACAGTGCGTTTGCTGGCGGCGAAATTAGCACCTTGACATACGTACTTAACAGATCAACTAACATGTGCGCGAATAGTTGAAGCATGTCTGAAGCAAGAAAGTGTCGCAGATTACGAGCAAGTGCGTGCAGCTGTCGCGGAATACCTGGGCACCACTTGTACATTCCTTACGAGAGGTTCGTGAGCCTTTTATTTGTACAAGTATACACTCGGTATATTTAACGACATGCATTTCCAATAACGCAGGGCTTGTGGACTTATCCGGACACGCGCTACTTGCTACACACGTCGAGCGTGTTGAAGTCACTGAGTTCAATAGCGAAGGAAGTGACGAGATCGAGAGTGACAGAGTTTCGAGCTCAAACGCCCGTTTGTTTGTGCACGTGTTTAAGCTCAGCAATGTAAGTACTTGGAGCTAATATGGCATACAGATGCACAAATGATGAAGATGCTCTAACATTTTTTTTTGCCTCGGCTTGCAGGAGAGCCCTGCAGAAGAGACGGCAGACGGTGACGAGAGCGTGACAACGTGCCAGCATATGAGTCTTCCCGCTGCAAGTTTTCATGGGCTTTGGGATTCGCTTATCTTTGACTCGTCAGTGAAGCAACACGTGCTAGACTATGCCATGACTGCGTTGCTGTTTTCGGACACGAAAGTGAATCCACACATCATATCGTGGAATCGAGTGGTTCTATTGCATGGTCCACCTGGCACCGGAAAGACGAGTTTGTGCAAAGCGCTGGCTCAGAAACTCAGTATCCGTCTATCGTCGAGGTATGAGAGCACCTACTGTGGCTTGATTTACTTTGTGGTATTGACTGGAGTAACAATGCGGTATGTAGATACCCAAACGCGATCCTTGTGGAAATCAACGCACACAGCTTGTTCAGCAAGGTACGACGTTCCGAAGACGGCGAATGTCGGTGGAAAAAAGTCGATTGATGGACAACTTTTTTGTTATGGCAGTGGTTCTCGGAGAGCGGAAAAGTGGTCATGAAGCTATTTCAGCAGATCCAGGAATTAGCAGAGGACGAGAAGTCACTTGTTTGCGTGCTGATCGGTGGGTTTGCATAAGCAGATAATTGTGAATTGATGAACATTCTAACGGTAGATGCTGGTGCTTTTCAGATGAGGTGGAGTCACTTACAGCTGCTCGGAAGTCCGCTGTGAGCGGATCAGAGCCGTCTGACGCAATTCGAGTGGTCAACGCATTGCTGACGCAGCTAGATTCGTTGAAGCGCCACTCGAACGTGCTTATTCTCACGACGTCGAATATTACTGAAGCCATTGATGCTGCATTTGTTGACAGAGCGGACATCAAGCAGTATGATGAGTACATTGGTCACTGCTCGAGTGGCCATGCTTGACGAGGTTAACATCCCTGTTGCTGCTGTCAGGTACATTGGACTTCCATCGTGTCGAGCGCGCTACGAAATCTTGCGAAGTTGTGTTGAGGAACTACAACGTGTGGGAATCGTCCAGCCGAGCACACAGCTTGTCGTACAGCATCAAGAGCAAATGAGGAGACGAGCTACGAGTCGGTCGGGAACAGGCGGCGAAGTTATTTCGCTGAAGTTGTGGCAAGCGGCAGAAATGGCGGATGGATTTAGTGGCCGAGCGCTGCGCAGACTTCCATTCCAGGCGCACGCCTACTTCGTGCAGGTTTGATCTACCTGCTGCTTTACGTACGCCGACAGATAAGCTCTGATTTTGATTCTTACTCTAGACTCGAACGCCGGGGGTTGGTGAATTCATTCATTGCTTAGTGCAGGCCATTAGCCGCGAAAGTGAACAAACGCAGCAGCTCTCATCGGAATAGACTGCAGGGCAAATGGTTAGCTTACTTGGACTACGACAACTTGTGGGTGCTGGATGCGTCATCTCGCAGGCCTTGCGTGGATTTCAAAAGCAGTGCTCGGTTGAATTTCGCTTATAACGACGATCTGGCATACCTTGCTTCTTCCCACCTCAATACTTTGGACGTGAGAAACGACGCTGGCTGTAGCTACCCGTACTACTACTGCTTCGAGCTCCATCAAGCTGCATCCGTCCACCACCCGTCAATCTACCACCAGCATCGAACGATGACGAGTTTACCAGCTTACCGTTGCAAAACTCCTCTGTGACGGTGCGCGCACAACCATCCGATCCCGTTGCAGTGGTCGTCTTTTGCTGGATCACATTTCCATTCATATCCGTGAACGTCGAAGACGATGAGCTCGTGCTTGTCGAAAAGACTCGAGCGTTCGGTCCATTCATCTCCTGGAACGCATTGCTAAAGGTACCACCACCCATCATAGGCATGCCACCAAATCCGTGCATGTTCGTGGCCAGACCCATGCCCATATCCATTCCAGCACCACCCATGGCCATACGAAATGGATCGTCTCGAAACAGCATGGAGCCATGACCTTGTCGTCCACCCACAAAAAAAGCTTCAAATGGATCTTCGCCTCCGAAGAAATGGTCGAAAATGTCTCGAGCCCGGCGAGTCGAGAACCCTCTACCACGATCGTGAAAGGGGAACGACTCTGGCATCGGAGCTGCACTTTGCTGTGGTCTAGATTGGTCCATGGCCTCATATTGCTGTCGTTTAATGGGATCACTTAGCACTTCATAGGCCTCACTGATTTTCTTAAACACCTCTTCGGCCCGTGGGTTGGCTCGATTCTTGTCAGGATGCCATTGTACGGCCAGTTTGCGGTATGCCCGCTTCACATCAGAGTCGGACGCGACGCGGTGCAGACTCAGAATTGTGAAATAGTCATCTGATTCCAAATGCGCAGGGATCGCCATTGATTGTGCAGACTTGATGGCCTCAACTAGTTTGGCCTTTTCTTGCGTTCGATTGACTTCTTGTCCGTCTTCTTCGGATACGGTGAGGTCGATGACGCAATGCGGCGTCTTTTCCTTCACCTGGACCGGTCTCGAGTGGACTCTTGCGGCTGCTGCAGCTACTTTTCGACTCGTGGGAACTCGACACTTGGCGGCACTTTCTTCTCTCGAAACTCTGGAATGTCGTCCTCGAGGAGACATTTTTGTATCAATTCTTGCGTCGTTTCGATGGGAATTCGTTGACCAACGGAGCGGCAGTGGAGAAAAAAACCTCACGATGGATGAGTCGCTTGTGACAAAGAAGCAGTTAATTTAGACAAGATCGGAGAATCGGAACTGGTTTTTAGATGGTGCGGAATCAGCCATCAACGAATGTACTTCTTCTTTTGTAAAGTCTAAACGGCATTAGTTTTTTTTGGAAATGCTAAACGGTTTGGGTTCATTTTTATTCGGCTGGGTCATTCTGATTCGTTATCAGAAGTAGCTCAGAAATACGTCCACTTTCGTCAGGAGTAGATCCCACCTACTCGATGCACTATTACCGTTCACTCACTTGCCCGTGCAAAGCTCGAACTGACGATTACAGTGCATTTCACTGCGAAAACCCTTCTACATTCCTTACTTCCTGGCCGAACTCCAACCCTGTGAGCAACACCAACACAGGTGCGTTCTTTCAGTGCGCGCAACATGATCCATTCTGGGAAACCCGTTAATGCGGCCTTGTCACCGCTGCCGTTTGCGATACACTTGGACGTGCCACATCCTCGTCGTCGTATCTTTATGACCACCTCGTCGTGTCTGTATGAAGATGCAACAAACACCTTTGTCTCGAGTAAATAGTGATTCCTCATGAACTGGGCCGTGCCCGGTAGTGCCTATTGGAAGACGCGCTGATTCGTACTAGCAGAAGAGCATCTGTCCTATAATAAGCAAGATGAAAATTCCTTCATTACGGGGAAGGTGACATGAAGGCCGTGATAGGCGGCATCGATCGTACGCCGGATAACATCCTCTGGAAGAGCTAGTTTGACACCAAGGCCAATAGTATCGAGGTCATGACGCCTGTACAAAAGATGTTTGTCAAGAAAGTGTAGCCAGAAAGATGGAGAACTGGGTCAAGTCGGTGTGTAACGGGGTGAATCGTTACATAACAATTTATAAGAAATTGTTAATCGAATATAACTATAAGAGTTATATTCTCAGAATATTGTCATAAGGACAAATATTCTGTAGCACTTACGAGTAGTCCCTAATTGGTTGATACAGGCCATTATATCAACCAACGAAGACGCTCCACGACAGACTCACGCAATGAGTGGTGAGCAGGTAGTTGATATGCACATTTGTATTCAAACTTAGCTAGATGAGGATAAACAGTGGTTTATTGCAGACATTAACTATTATAAATACAGTTCTACTTTTTACTTTAACCAAGTACGCGCTTCTTCTTACCGTCTTCCTCTGCACGTACGAGTGTACGTGAAGTTCCGAGGCACCGCCTTATTCTGTTATCAGAATAGGTAGCTTGTACTGTCACCAGAACAAGCTTCAGGGTGGCCCGTTACACGAGTGGTCCAAGTGCTGGAGTGCTGAGTGCAATCTCTGTGCAGACGCACGGATTGAGACGTACTGTCCGCTTCAGATTATACTCGGGACATCGTAAAAATATGTGCGGACCTGATACGCATTTGAATCCGAAGGGGTGGTGATCTAACAAACGTTATGAGACAATGGATGTAACGGGGTGAATCGTTACATAACAATTTATAAGAAATTGTTAATAGAATATAACTATAAGAGTTATATTCTCAGAATATTGTCATAAGGACAAATATTCTGTAGCACTTACGAGTAGTTCCTAATTGGTTGATATAGGCCATTATATCAACCAACGAAGACGCGCCACGACAGACGCACGCAATGAGTGGTGAGCAGATAGTTAATTTACACATTTGTATTTAGACATAGTTAGATGAAGATAAATAGTGATTTATTGCAGACAGTAACTATTATAAATACAGTTCTACTTTTTACTCTAACCAAGTACTCGCTTCTTCTTACCGTCTTCCTCTGCACGTACGAGTGTACGTGAAGTTCCGAGGCACCGCCTTATTCTGTTATCAGAATAAGTAGCTTGTACTGTCACCAGTACAAGCTTCAGGGTGCCCCGTTACACCTGGTAGCACTTTGTAGTCCGTCCAAGGACCGCGTTCACATCCAACATGAATATGTTGGATGATGAAGATGACCAAAGCTTTCACGCTACGCGTGACGGCTACTCCCATTTGAGCGATGTCGAATGGGATGCGGTTGAACGAATGGGTTCGACCATGGGCATCCATGCTGTTAGCGTCATGCTAGAGGCTCTCAATAGAGATGCCCAACATGCTACTATCGCCAAGTTCATTCAAAATGAACTTGACGCAGAACGCGAGAAAGTAGCCTTGCTTCACCAACAAGGTTCTCAACAAGCAGAGTTGTTGAGAGAACAAGGTGCTCAACAGTTTGAACTGTTGAGACAGCAGCAGGCTGCTGCTGGCGGGTCGATGCACTCGCGTCGGCCCGAGACTTTGAAGATTGACATCTCAAAGTATAGGGGGTCGAAGAAGACTCCCTCTTGAGATGGTTCGTCGAATTGGATGACGCCATAAGGGCGCGTCGCATCGACGACGGGGATATGCAAGTTGCATTTGCCCAGTCAAATCTGGCAGGACGTGCCAAGACTTGGGCACTGGGGCTCAAGCTGCACGACCCATATGCGTTTGGGTCGTTGGAAGTCTTCAAGTCGCGGCTCAGACAAACGTTTGAACCGCCTAGAGCTGAGTTCAGAGCTCGAACCGAACTCTTGAAGCTCAAGCAGGGTAAGCGTGATGTGCACGCTTACGCTCAACATATACGACATCTCACGAGTTGTATAAGTTCCAATCCGGTGGATGAACACACGTTGGTTTCGGTGTTCATGCAGGGTCTTGCGGATGGTCCCGTCAAGACTCACCTGTTCCGGCTTGAACTAGATTCACTAGAACAAGCCATTTCAATTGCGGAGCAGGAAGACTTCAGTCTGAGACAGGCTCGCGCCAGCTCGACATCATATCGTCAACCGAGACGATATGACAACGGAGGTCCAGAGCCGATGGAACTCTGTTATGTAGAGAGCGAGAAGGCTCGCTCTACAGGCTACAAGAAGTTGCAGAGATGCAACAGATGTCAAAAGACAGGACACTACGCTTACGAGTGTAGTGCCCCTCGTCCAGTGTCTCGCGACACTGGGCGTAGTGACCGTCCACCCATGAGAAAGGGGCAGGGACGAGGGTCCGCAGTTGGTGCAAAGACGCAACAACGGGATGGACCGTCAAAAAACGGACAGGATCAGTAGGTGCGGAGCACCCTACTGATCCAGCAACGTCAAGAGAATTTGTAGGCCTCTTGATGAAGGTTGCTCCCAACACACAGACATTGTGCGTTGCTGCTCTAGGTAATGAGATCTCACTCATTACCTTGAAACTCGAAGTGACGAATAAGTTGTCCCTTCGAGCTCTAGTCGATTGTGGGGCGTCCAACAATTTTGTGCGACGCCAATCGCTAGAAGATGGTCACTTTAAATTCAGTGAATGTGACACACCTCCTACGAGGATGACGGTACGTCTTGCGACAGGCGCATCCGTAACCGTCATGAAGCGTATAGTGAAGATTCACTATACGCTAGAAGATACCCAATACGACGATGACTTTATCGTATTGGATTTGGATGACAAATTTGATGTCATCCTTGGAATACCGTGGCTCAGAAGGTACGAACCACGGGTAAACTGGCAACATCGGACAGTAACGATGCCTGCCGCTTGTTCATCAGATGGCCATCTGATGAACGTTTTGGAGCGTCCACAAGCGTGTGGATGTACTACGAGTGAGTGCGATGGCCTCACTTGTGGTACGGTCGTTAGTACGACTGCACAAAACCTTAGTGTACCAAACGGTTACACTTCGGAGCAAAGTTCCGGCGGCTGTGAGGAAACACAGGCTGCGCCGAAGGTCCACCACTCGAATAAGTCGGGTGGACTGGGACAAAGATGTATCCCTAGAGGGGAACATCTAGAAGAGAAACAATCGATCGCTCAGGTTAAGCGAAACGATAATCCTAGATCGACTGGAGAGTCTTTCGTAGAGGATCTCGCTGTGGTTGCGCAACCCCAGCTAGAGGAAGTAAAGGGAATAAGTCCCAAGATTACAAATACGGCGGAAATAAGTTCCCCGAAACCCGCGGGAATAAGTCCCCGGGAAGACGAAGGAATAAGTCCTTCGAAGCCTGAGGGAATAAGTCCCCAGGAAATGACAGAGACATTGAATGTCATAGTCAATAACGGATCATGTGTAGGCGCTTATACACTTGATCTGATTGCGCCTCCGAAGTTAACTTCGGAGATCACTCAGTTGCCAACGCTCGAACATAAAAGATTCTTGCGTGATCTGCGTAGTGGCAAAGTCAAGCAGATCTGCATACTCGTCGCTGAAGACGAGTATGTAACCGACATAAGGTCAGCAACAGTGTTTACTGAGAACGAGAGAGTTCTCAGTAGTTCATCTATGGACGAGAGTGTCCTAGATGAAAAGACACGAATTGAGCGATATGAGTCCCAATCATGGGAATCGCTCAAGGAAAATCCTCTCTATGAAGATTTGGTTGAATTCAAGGATGTATTCCTGAAACTGTTCCGTGCGAATTACCGAAGGATAAAGGTATTCGACACGAAGTCGAGCTTAAACCAGGCTCGAAGTACTGTGTCATGAAGCAGTGGCCACTGCCTCGTGAACAAGTACTTGCGATCGACAAGTTCTTTGCCGATCGTTTAGCAGCGGGCCATGTGAGGGAATCAACTTCCCCACATAGCTCTCCGACCTTCTGTGTGCGAAAAGCAACAGGAGGGTGGCGGATAGTGCACGCGTTTAACAAATTGAACGCTGCAACGGTACCGGCTCAGACGCCGATACCGAGGAAGGATGTAATCATTGATGGTATGTCAAAGAGTACCATCTTTTCGTCCATGGATTTGATGGATGGCTTCTATCAAATCCTAATGCGGGAACGGGATATACCCTATACCGCAGTTAGCACGCCTAGCGGCATGCTCTGGGAATGGCTAGTAATGCCACAAGGGCTCAGTAATGCCCCTGCCACGTTCAACAGGTGTGTATCACATCTG